ACCCCCCACCTCCTGCTCCTCCCTGCTCCTCCCTGCTCCCTCCTCCCTCCCTCCTCCTTCCCTCCTCCCCTTGTGAGACTTTGACGGGACCCATCAACTGCCATCGGTGGTAGTATTTCTTTCATATTTTATTGTATTTTTGAATATTTTGATCCCTTTTTGGTCGATAGTAGAAATACTTCCCTTGCAGAGTTCAATATTTTATATTGAATCTTCAATGTTTATTGAGATGTTTACTGGTTTCGCCTGGTTGGGCGACTCCCTTCCGTCCCTCCCGTCCCTCCCGTCCCTCCCGTCCCTCCCGTCCCTCCCGTCCCTCCCGTCCCTCCCCTCCTCTCGCTCGTTTACACGTTCACCCCCTCCTCCCTCCTCCTCCTCCTACTACTACTCTTCCTCCCTCCTCCCTCCTCGTCCGCCTTGTCCTCCTCGTCCTCGTCCTCATCCCATCCTCCTCCTCTCCCTCCTCCTCCTCTTCCTCCTCCCCTCCGCACTTCTTCCTCCCTCCTCCCCCTCCCTCCCTCCTCCTCCCCCTCCTCCTCCTCCTCCCTCCTCTCCTCCTCCTCCTCCTCCGTCCTCCGTTCCTTGTCTTCTTTCTTCTTCCCACTTTAAGTTCATTCTTACTTCCCATCCCCGCCCTTCAATCCTCCCCCTACGTCACTACCATCTACCATCGTTGCAAACAAACCCTTCCTTAGGTGTTTCCCTTCACCCTCCTCATCTTGCCATCTGTTCTCCCTGTTCTCCCCCATCCATTCTCCCCTGGTACACATCTTCCCCCTCCCCATGATATGAAGGCCCGGCCATGGAGCTCAGGGCTCTCGACGACGACAACTGGGTCGATCTCGACGCGCAGCACAAGATTCTGACTACTCTGCGCAATGCCGAAGACGCCCTCTATGATGGTCTGCCATGCTGCAACGTCGCCGCCATGACTTGCCGTGCAGGAAGAAGAACCAGCGACGAGCCTATCCTCACCCGGCAGAACATGTAAGGCTGTCTTCAAGCACGCCCGGTCCTCACTGTCTCCCCAGCGACACGCGAGCAGCAGCCCAAGAGTCCTTCGAGTGGCAGGACTGGGCGGAAAGGTCGAGGAGGAGGACACCACGGCTCCATAGTGAGACTGTCTTTGCAGGTTTCCCCACCTCCGAGTCGTCGGTTGCTCCCTCCTCAGGTCTGCTGTTCTTCCTGCTCCTCCCGCTCGTCTCAGGCCATGGCAGCGCTGAAGCCGAGGGGGAGGATCGAAGCTCGTTCCGGGAGGAAGTGGAAGAAGTGATACTGGAGGATGCAGCAGGTAAGCCCTACGAGGTAAGAGCAACATGGGCAAGTGCTGCTGGCGTGATGCGTCTTGGTCAGGGGAGAAGAACCTTGAGGTCGGATGGAGAGGCGTCTCCTTCCAGGGAGGAAAGCTCTTTCCTTCTGGACGGGAGACACGCCATGTACCAGCAGGTCTTGCAGGCCTTGACAGCGCTGGCCATGCAGAGGCTACAAGAAGGGAGGAGCACTTCGGGGAGGGATCCATCCAAGGACGGGAAGGAGGAGGAGGAGGGGGAAGGAGGAAGAGGCAGGTCGTACGCGGGTTCTCGTTGTGCGCATGTCGCAGACCCAGCAGAGTGGAGCAAGCTCAGTCACAAGTGGTGGCAGGAGGACGACAGGACAAGAGCTGGACGCCAGCAGAGAGGGAGAAAGGACGTGAGAGTTCGGCTGCAGGGCCTGATTGAAGAGAGCTTGTCCCTGCATGCTGGGATGGAGCAGAGGAAGGGACAGCCACGGCAAGGGACGCTGAGCTCCCTGGGGAGAGACGCCGTGAGGAGGGAGGCTTCGGAAGCAGCCTCCTCCTCCCTCTTCGTTGCAGGGTCGGCGATGCTTGGCAGGAACGGCGGGGGCGGAGGCATGCGCGACTTTCCTAGAGAGGTGATTGAAACTTTGTGGTGGGCAGCTCACGGCCCATGACAGAGCCTTGCTGCTGCGGTCGTCCCCAGCAATGACCCGAGGAGGCGACCAGCTCCTGTCGGAGCACGCCCAGTCTCCACGGACGTGCATCTGTTCCGCCCGCTGTACATCCCGGAGAGCAGGAGACGCACTTCCTCGTCAATTGCGATGAGGGCGGAGAAAGACTTCCTGAACTCCAACCTCCTCCGCGGGTGAGGTGAGGGCGAGCTGGAGGGTCGCTGAGAGAGGTGGCAGGAGTGAGAGACTGTCACGGATGGAGCGCGTTAGGGTGTCGGTGGCGGAGAAGACAAGAGGTCAGCAGCACATGCTTCTCCTGCCCGCCTTGACCTGTATTTCCTCCTCCTCCTCCTCCTCCTCCTTCCCCTCATTCTGCTCCTGCTCCTGCTCCTGCTCCTGCTCCTGCTCCTGCTCCTGCTCCTGCTCCTGCTCCTGCTCCTGCTCCTGCTCCTGCTCCTGCTCCTGCTCCTGCTCCTGCTCCTGCTCCTGCTCCTGCTCCTGCTCCTGCTCCTGCTCCTGCTCCCCTTTTCTCATCAGAACGGGCCCGCACGCTTCTTGGCATCGATCACTGATCATCCTTCCGAGAGATCGATCGGGGCGTTGGGGAGGGACTTGAGGGTGTTGCGCAGCGACTTGATCGCCTCTGCGTGCATGTTCTGCGAGGGTTCAGCGTGCAATGAAGGATGAGAACAGATACCTTCTCCTCCTCCAGGAGCTTCTCAACACTCGCAGCTACTTTCTTCTTGCTCTGACCACGCGCTGGTCAGCCAAGGATGCAAGCAAGGTGGCAGGGGAGCACCTGGCAGAGGGCCTTGTAGGCAGAAAGCATGTCCTCCCTCGCGTTGCTCATCGTTTGAAGATTCTTCTCGAGGTCCTCCTGCGTGTCCCAACCACGTCAGAACAGCCGCGGGACCTCCGAGCCGCTCGCACCTCCAACTCCTTCACCTCCTCGTCGCTCAGTTTCCCTTTCCCCTTCACACAAAGTCACTCCTCCTCCTCCTCCACCTTCTCCTCCTTCCCCCCCCTTCCCCATTCCCGTCCCAATCCTCTGCTTCACAGCTCTTGCAGACCTTGCTGTCCTCCAGCTCCCTTTGCTGGATGCTCGCATCCAATCGAGCAGTCTTGTACTGGAGGCATCGGGGAGTCAGTTGCGCTGACCATGGACAGCAGCTGGACCTTGTTCCTCATTCGCACAGCATCTCCGATCTCGTTCCTCACCAGCTCCTCCACCACCTGCCGTCTGTTAAGGATGTAGCAAGGGAAGGGGAGAAGGAAGAGACCTGTGTCAGCTCGGAGATGGGGCCCGGGCCAAACCTCTCCTGCTTCGTGTAGTACTTGGTGGAGTAATTTCCCTGCACTACCGTCAGCCTCCAAGCAGGAATGATCCTCCCCGCTCCTTTCTGCTCCGTCCTCCTTCCTTCTGCCTCCTCCCTCCTTCTCCCTCCTCTAACCTCTCCCTCCTCTGCCCTCTCCCTCCTTCAGCTCCAGAATCTCTCCTACTCCTCCCACCCTCCTCTATGTAGTTCATCCCTCGTGATCCTCACCTGCTCGAAGTTCGCACGAGACGCGTCCATCGTCTCACTCGTCGTGTACATGCTCTGCGATCTGTCAGCCTGGTACAGCATGGCACCTAGCGGGGTTGTCAGCAAACTACTTGATAGCAGCGACTGTGAGCGACAGAGGATAGTGACGACCTGAAGTAACCATGAGCGCTTCGTTGAGGTCCTGCTGATACGTGGGTGTCTCCTTGAAGAAACTCTCCTTCCCGCTAGTCGCCAAGTCTCGGGCCACCCGATCACTAATGGTGGCACACTTGACAAAGGCAGCGCCAACGCGTCTCAGGGGGCCAGCGATCTTTGCGTTCTCTACCGCCATGTCCTGAAGGACGGAGAGCAGGTGAGCGTACTTTATCTTGGTCTCCTTGATGTACGCCATCGCAGTCTCCACATCCTCCGTCGACTCCACGAGCTTCAGCTTGTCGCCGTACTGTTGCGCCTTGACTTTGTTCATCTGAGACTTCATGTCGTGCAGCATGTCTCCTGCCCCGATGTCGCTCGCCAACTTCTGCGCAGCTTTCCACGCGTTCGCAAAGAGTCCCATCCCACCATGAGGCTTCGATGCTTTGGAGTTCGAGCCGTCGTCGATGTTGCTGAAGTCCGCCGAGTGCCCTTGCACGAACCCTCCGTCGTTCCCTCCAACAGCTCCACCCTCGCTCCCAGCAATCATCGACTCTCCTCCAACTTCAACTGAGCCGCTCGCCGTTGGATGCTCCTCCTCTGCAGAACTCATGATAGATCCTGCAAACTTGAGAGTGAACATTGAGCGGCACAGTGTTTCACTGATCGGAGGAGAGGAGCTCATTCTATTCCCTCCAGTATCCCTCACATGATAAAGCTATTTCTATACCTTAGATTCTTAGCCGCGATCAAACAATGGCAGTAAGGGTCAGATGAAGGTCTACAGAGAATGAGCAATGCAGTATCGCATGCTAGATATCAAGGCAGAGATGAGACGAAAAGTAAACACAAACAGGCCGGTATGACCAGATAGTACAAACAGCGTCGTTGGAGGAAACATCAGCGATACATGGAAAATCAACTTTGAACGGAGCTCAAAAACATAAAGATATGGGTTTAGGTAAAAGTTAGAATGGAGACGCTTTCGATGAGAAGCAGGGATTGCTGTTCACACGAGAGAGGAGAAGGGGGGCAGGAGAGCAGTACGAGCACAAGGTGGGAAGGAGATGAGGAGGTTGAGTACGTTGCTTGGGAGGGCAGGAGGAGGAGGAGGAGTAGGGTAGGAAGGTAGGAAGACGAGGATTAGGGTGGAAATAAGGGGAGGAGGAGGAGGAGGAGGAGGAGGAGGAGGAGGGCGGCGAGGCATTGTAACCAGCAGCCGCCAGCATAGTTCACTCCCTGTACACGTAGGAGGGCCACTTCCCATCTCAGTCCCAATAAAATACGCCGGGCCCCTGCCTCTGCCGGGCCGGGCCGCCTGCGTCGGGCCCCTGCGCCGGGCCAATGCGGCGCAGTGCGGCCGGTGCGCCGGGCCCTGCAGCGCGCCACTGACCGGGCCCCGGGCCCGGCAGAGCCGCTGAGCGGTCCCGGCCCCGGCCCGACTCGCCGCAGAGACGGTGACACTGCCTGAGTCGGACTCACTGAACTTCGGAACCCCCTGGGCCAGTGGAACCGTCACTGAACTGCCCGGCCCGGGGACCCGGAGGCTGGACGGTCTCGCGGGTGCCGCCGGCTGGGCCGCACACATGCGGCACTCAGCACGGTGGCATGGTGCGGCGGGCCAGCCTCAGTGGCGGCACCCGGGTGACCGGCGGTGATCGGACTCAGGTACGGTGACGGTACTCCGACTCCCCCGAATGATCGGAGCCTGACGGTGGCACGATCAGGCCCGGATCACTGATGCCATCATGGCTGTCGAACGGCGACTCACGAGTCCGAGTCAGTCGGCCCGGCCCCGGACTCCTCCGAGGCTCAACGGTCGGACTAGACTAGCCTGGCAGCACTGCCGTCATAAACTTCCGGGAGTCCGAGAGATGGACTCGGGATTCAATGATTTGCAGTTCCGTGACTCACCGTATCGGACGGTTGGCCGGGCCCAAAGGCCGGGCGTCTCCGGCACTGACTTGAATCTCATGGTCACCGCCTCAGGGAGCAGCCTGGCAGAGCGGAACTTGATACCGTGCGCTGCAACTTTACTACTGGTGCGTCACGTTTCAGTCAGGCTTTACCACGCGGGTGAGAGTCGAAATGAGAGGCACACACCGGGTGTTTGAAGGTTCAAAAACAGGGTGGTGTCTGCCCCCCATGATGTGTGGTAAAAGATACCAGGATTCGGCTAAAACTGTTGTTTAGAGATATCTCGAGATTACATTCGTTGATGTTGGGTGCCAGTGGTAAAGGAGAGGAAAAAAGAGAAAATAGCAGAAACAGATCCTCGGCCCGTTGGAGTCTAGTATCCTCGGGATGGCACGAGCAGGGGAGGCAGAAGGAGGGCGGCGCACGAGGAGGAGGTACAAGGAGGAGACATCGAAACGAATGATGGCCGAACTTGCTCGATGACTGCTGCACTTCCAATGAATTCTAAGAGCAAAAACATACTGGGTTCTTGGAGAAGAAATGGAAAATTTGGGTGACGACGACGATCTGCGAAGGCTCCTAGAGGAGTCCTTGAAGCGTCCACGATCGCAAGGCCGCGCCTGCACCCGCTGCAGACGCCAGAAGCTCCGCTGCGACCGCCTCAGGCCCTGCCTCAGCTGCATCACGCGAGGCTGCCAGGATGAATGTGATGCCGAGATGGGAGCGACGTCATGCCTGTCGTGCAAGGTGTCGAAGACGAGGTGCGACAAGAGCCGGCCTTGCTCTACCTGCATTGCTCGGGGCAAAGTCGAAGAATGTCGCAACGAACCGACAAACAAGACTTCAGCTGATAACAAGGAAAGCAGGATGGAAAATGAGATAACGAAATTGCGAGGATTGCAGAACCAAAGGATTCAAAACCTCCAAGACGATGTAACTTCACCATGGACTCCACTCTCTCCCGAGTCAACTGGAATACTTGATGCACTCCTGCCGCTCGTCGTCGCCTCGTCGCGGGCGGGGTACAGCGAGCCGGCGGTCCTGCGGCTGATCAACGCCATGGGCCCTGACCTCCGCGGGGTGCTGGGCTCCTTGGCTGAGACGGTCGGGGAGCTCAACGCGGCCCGGGCCCGGGCTGGAGAGGGTCTGCGCGGGAGGGACGCAAGCAGGACCAGCGAGCCCCCGGCAGCAGAAGCGTCGTCACGGGGCTGGGCATCGTGGAGGGTGCACTGGGGACCGGGGGAGGCCCAGCGGGGGAGGACGGAGGTGACGAGGGGGCTGGAGGGGCTATGGGAGGTGGCAGGGGCAGGCGAGGAGCAAGCGGGAGAGAGGCATGGCGAGGAGGGGCTGGTCGAGCGGGAGCTGCCGACGTCAGACGTGGAGTACGTGTGCATGCTGGTGGACGAGCTGCTGTCGTCCGGGGAGGCGCGGGCGGTGAGCTACCACCGTCTGTGCGGGAGGTCAGCGGGGGGTCTGCTGGAGGACAGCATGCTGGTGCGGTCGACGGTAGAGAGGGAGGAGGACGAGACGGGGCGTGTGGTGAGCAGCCTGCACACGGTGGAGGCGGTGGAGACGGAGGAGTGGGAGAGGATCCAGGGGAGCGCCGAGACCAGGTGAGAAGGAGGAGAGCTTGTGAAGGATGTTTGTTTATTGTGTATGGGAGGGATGAGAGGCGCTTGTACGGAAAGATTGGTGATGTGACGGGTTGATGAATGCAGGTCGACATACATGCAGCTACGGAGATACCTCGGGGAGGAGCCGACGGGGGAGGATGTAGTACGAACGCACCGGACGGACATGGTAAGAGGGAGGAGAGAGGGAGCGGGGGGGGGCACTGAAAGGACGTGTGCACAGCTTTTCGGGGAGGACTTTGGGAGCATGTCGGAGACGCGGGAGGGGCGGGAGAGGATGGAGAGGATGAGGAGCTTCTTCGAGGAGCAACTTTCAGCGCTCAAAATTACTACACCAAACTTGTAAAATGTTTTTGTCCTTGTCTTTGAGCACGGCGCCACCCTTTTTTTACCCTATCCTTTAACACCTTTCTCTGTAGTAAAATAGGCATATCTACCACTTAGTGTAGTAAAGAGGGCTCGATTTTACGCCTGAAATCCTCGGTGTCGTCCTCTGCCTGCATATCATCATTTGCGCATCTCCTCGTCACCCTCCTGGTTGGCTGCAGCCACGTTGCTGATGCCTGCTCCCTCCCTCCACCGTGATGCTCCACATGCTCTCTAGTCACATTATGATTCCTCTTCCTCCCTTCTTCCTTTCTCTTGGACCCTTGAGAGATGCGCATCGCATTTATTGTCCTCAGTCCTCGTCTTTCCGCACTATTCATATTTTTGCCTGCCTGCTATTTTTGTCTTATATTCTGTCTTCGCTGTTTGTTCAACTCTTTCTTCTGATATCGATTTCTGATTCATTGCCTTTCACGCTTTGCTCTTGCGATGTGTACTTTGGAGCTTGCTTCTCTATCTGTTGTGTCAAACAGTATCGTTACTGCTTTCACATCATTTCAATGCTGCCGATAGCAATGCTGTTTTCTCTAAAAATATTAAACCATATGCTTAATGCAAGTTTTTTCTAGTTGCCACAAATTTTCTAGTTGCCACAAATCAAAATCGCTAAGATCCTTTTGATAAATGCTACGAAAATCTGATTGTGGCAAGCAGGAGGCGATTGAAAGATCAACTAAATCAAATATTCCAAAAGAGAACGATCCAAAAAAAACAATTGATAGCAAACTGATTGACATGCAACAAAAAGAGCAGAAGGTATTGGATCATATCTTCCTCCCCATGCTCCCTGAAGACCTCTACCTCGATGACTCCTGCCAAGATCTCCGCCAGATCCTCCATCGCTCCCTCAAGCGCGCTCAGCCCCAAGGCCGCGCCTGCACCCGCTGCCGACGCCAGAAGCTCCGCTGCGACCGCCTCAGGCCCTGCCTCAGCTGCATCACGCGAGGCTGCCAGGATGAATGTGATGCCGAGATGGGAGCGACGTCATGCCTGTCGTGCAAGGTGTCGAAGACGAGGTGCGACAAGAGCCGGCCTTGCTCTACCTGCATTGCTCGGGGCAAGCCAGAGGAGTGCAGGAGCGGGTCCAAGGCCAGGTCGGTACAGAAGCCGAGAAAGAAGTCAGCATCGCCGCCGTTGGTCTACTCCCCTGAGGAAGGGATGACAGAGCGCGAGCTTTCGCCCTGGTCGACGGCGTCAAGCCACGGGAGCCTGGACACGCTCCTGCCGCTCGTCGTCGCCTCGTCGCGGGCGGGGTACAGCGAGCCGGCGGTCCTGCGGCTGATCAACGCCATGGGCCCTGACCTCCGCGGGGTGCTGGGCTCCTTGGCTGAGACGGTCGGGGAGCTCAACGCGGCCCGGGCCCGGGCTGGAGAGGGTCTGCGCGGGAGGGACGCAAGCAGGACCAGCGAGCCCCCGGCAGCTGAAGCGTCGTCACGGGGCTGGGCATCGTGGAGGGTGCACTGGGGACCGGGGGAGGCCCAGCGGGGGAGGACGGAGGTGACGAGGGGGCTGGAGGGGCTATGGGAGGCAGGGGCAGGCGAGGAGCAAGCGGGAGAGAGGCATGGCGAGGAGGGGCTGGTCGAGCGGGAGCTGCCGACGTCAGACGTGGAGTACGTGTGCATGCTGGTGGACGAGCTGCTGTCGTCCGGGGAGGCGCGGGCGGTGAGCTACCACCGTCTGTGCGGGAGGTCAGCAGGGGGTCTGCTGGAGGACAGCATGCTGGTGCGGTCGACGGTAGAGAGGGAGGAGGACGAGACGGGGCGTGTGGTGAGCAGCCTGCACACGGTGGAGGCGGTGGAGACGGAGGAGTGGGAGAGGATCCAGGGGAGCGCCGAGACCAGGTGAGAAGGAGGAGAGCTTGTGAAGGATGTTTGTTTATTGTGTATGGGAGGGATGAGAGGCGCTTGTACGGAAAGATTGGTGATGTGACGGGTTGATGAATGCAGGTCGACGTACATGCAGGTACGGAGATACCTCGGGGAGGAGCCGACGGGGGAGGATGTAGTACGAACGCACCGTACGGACATGGTAAGAGGGAGGAGAGAGGGAGCGGGGGGGGGAGGGACTGAAAGGACGTGTGCACAGCTTTTCGGGGAGGACTTTGGGAGCATGTCGGAGACGCGGGAGGGGCGGGAGAGGATGGAGGGGATGAGGAGCTTCTTCGAGGAGAAACTTGACAGAATTTCAGGAACGCTGCGTGTTGTTAGATTGGTTTGATTTGTTTGCATTACACTTTTGCCAAGGGAAATGGAATCGTTTCCAAGAATTTGAACATGCCAACTTCAAAATCCGTGCAAATCTATGAATTCTATGTCGTCCGGTTGTTTGAAAAACTTTATCGTCCTTCCAGCCAATTCCTTTGCATGTTTACTCATCATTCACAAACAATCCTCATCCTTACCCCGCCCCCAACCACTTCATCACCGTCCACCTTCGTCCACATGAGGCTCAGTGCCTTTTTCATCTCTTCCATCTCATCTATCCCATCACTGTTTCACTCGACCTCGTCTGCTGCTGCTTCTACTTCTGGTTGCTGCTGGTTGCTGCTCCTGCTCCTGCTCCTCCTGCTCCTGCTCCTGCTGCTCCTGCTGCTCCTGCTCCTCCTGCTCCTGCTACCCCATCGCCTGACACTTTCCCTCTCATTCCCACGTTCCCCACGTTTTCACTTTCCCCTGCATTTCCGTCTCTTTGCAACTTGTGAGGACTAGCTCGCACTGCTGGGAGGCACGGTGTTGCTCGGTGATATTTGGGAGAAATCGAACCAGCGGGCGCGCCTCAGCGTCTCTTCGGGCATGGTCGTGTGGGGAGGAACCGCGGAGTGGCCATCGTAAGTAACGACGAGGAGGCAAGGAGAGGAGAAGAGAGAAGAAGGTGGGAGGAGAAGGATAACGAGCAAGGACGCAAGGAGGACAGGATAGTCACACACTCGGGTCTGAGACGAGTCACGGACTGAGGCTGGTAGATCCTGCTCTCTGGCACAACATGCTGGCCACTAGAAGGGTCGTCCTTGCCCTGCTCACGGTACAGCTCGCCTCGTTCGCTAGCTCACATCTTGCTGAGCGCCGTGAACATCAACATGTTGCGCGGGAGTCGGAGCTGTTTGCAAGCAAGGAGGAGGTGAACAACCTTAGGAGGATGGAGAAGGATCTGCAGCTAGAAATCAAGGCTGTGAACCTTTATGATCGGATTAGGAAGAGCAAGCTCGACAACAGAAACCTGGGGGTGCGTTTGGACAGATTGATCAGGCAGTCCAACACTGTGCTCAACCAGGCAGTGGGTGCAGACGCAGACCGAATGCTGGAGGAGAAGGTGGAGGGAAGCAAATACGCATGGCAGCAGTGCAAGGATGTCGGGGTCATGGCGAGCAGCGCAAGCACGCAGGAGGACTACGACAACGTGTGCGCCTTTGTGAAGGAGCGATGCAAACCCAAGGACGGGCTGGTCAACTATGTTGAGATCCCATACTGCTGGATGCCGAAAGCCACCGCTCTTGCTGGTGTTGTCCTCTTCCTCTGGATCTTGATCCTGTTTGTCTGGCTCATGGCCATGGTGGACTTTCTCATCCCGTCGCTGGCCACCATGTCAAGGATGTGCATGCTGCGACAGAGCGTTGCCGGCGTTACCTTCCTCGCGATTGGGAACGGATCCTCTGACTTGTTCAGGTGAGAGAGGAGGAGGAGGAGGAGGAGGAGGAGGCGAGCGAAAGAGGAGAAGGGCATGACGAGTCGTTGGTTCCAGCATGACAGCAGCGACTCTGTCTGGGATCAAGGTGACGGCGACGCGACGGGCAGTGGCCCTGATCCTAACTAGCGATCCGCCAGGGCATGGAGCTGGCGATCGGAGAGGTGCTGGGGAACGGAATGTTGATTTTCTGTGGCATCCAGGTTTTCTCTGTGTGCGGGTGAAGGGTAGGAAATGAAATGACAACGAGCGCAGGGGCTGATTGCGATCCTGACTCCGTTCACGGCGAACAGAGGTAGGAGAAAGCAGGGCGGGGAGATGACGAAGGGAGGGAAGAGGGGAGGAGGGGGAACAAGGGAGAGGTTTGGGGAGGGCGGGGGGAGGGGGCAGTGTGTGAAAGGCTGGCAGGGGAGTACCTTCGAGACTGTGGATTCTACCTGCTTTCCCTTGCTTTGAGCACGATTATTCTTTTGGACGGTCAGATCTCGACTATGGAGGTCCTGCTCGGTCGAACCAGCTGCCTTGTCTGACGTTTACTGGGCAGGGAATTATTTTCCTGATTGTCTACGCCACATACGTTGTCGTTGTCATCTACTTTGAGAAAATTTTGCTGGTGGGAAATTGTGAAAACGAAGATGACGATTGTAGCTTTTGATGATGACCGTGATGATAACATAGATGTTGTTGATGACGACGATGATGCTGGAGATGTTATTGATGACGACGAGAACGATGATGATGGAGATGATGATGGAAATGTTGATGTAGAGGACAAGAAGGAGAAGAAGTTGGTGACTTGTATGACTCTGACCCCAGGTGTTCGGCATGGAGCCATTGGAGGAAGATGTTGCTCTGGTACCAGCCTCCCCTTGCCCACACTCCCCAGCAGCGGCTGACCTGCCTTGACAGGCAACTCCGAACGTGGTGGAGGAGGGGGAGAAGGAGAAATCTTCGCTCATACAGAAGGATGATGTACGATGTCGAACCGCCTTTTTCTGCCTTAACTCGACTCAAACAGGAACTGCATGAAGTTCTCCTCCGACATTTCATGCCGCCGTCTCACGCGAGGTGGGGGAGGGGGTGAGGAGGAGCTGGAGGATGAGAGCAGGAGCAGGTGTATGAGCAGGAGCAGGAGCAGTAGTATGAGCAGCAGCAGCAGCAGCAGCAGCAGCAGCAGCAGCAGCAGGAGCAGGAGCAGGAGACCTTGACGTTTGTTGGGCAGGCTGGAGAAGATGAGCTGGTTCGAGAAGGTGTTGGTTTTTATCCAGATCCCGGTGAAACCTCCCTCTCCCTCCTCTCCCTCCTCATTCGAAACTCTCCAGGTCTCCACGGTTATGAAGCTGACGGTTCCGGTCGTGGATGAATCTTTGCCTGAGGACGGCTGGTAAATCCTCATCCTCAACCTCAACCTCAACCTCAACCTCATCATCCTCCCCCCCCCTCCTCCTCCTCCTCCCCCTCCTCCTCCTCTTGTCCTCTTCTCGCTGCTCGCTGCTCGCTCTGATTACCCTGCTTACCAACAGGTCTCGCTCGGCGACTACGATTCAGGTTTGGCTGCTTCCTGCTGAATGATGGAATTTTCTAAAGTTTTCCCTCCCCTCCCCCACCTCTCCTGCTCTCTCTCCCTCCTCCTCTGCCTCTCTGCCTCTCTCCCTCCCCTCCTCCTCCAGATGTTCTTTCTGCCCATATTCCTGGCCTGGTTCATCTCAAGGTCTCCTCCTCTTCCTGTTGTCCGTCCTCCTCACCTTCTTGATAGGCATCTCTACACCAACAGCCCCTACCGCCTACTCTACACTCTCGTCGGTATGCTCGTTGCCGCGGTCATCGGCGCCTTCGTCGCCTACTACATCTGGTCCTCCACCTCCAACAAGCGCCCAGCTGTGACCTCCTTCCGTTCACCTCCTCCTCGCTGACGTCTCCACCTCCTTAGTGGCACCGATCTCTGGCATTCGCCGGCTTTGCCGCTGCCGTCATCTGGATCTACGCGACTGCTGCCGAGATCGTCAACGTTGTCCTGGCCTTCGGGTGCGCAAGTTTACAGCTCCTCCCCCACCCTCCTCACTGCACGTCCAGGTCATCTTCGAGCTGGGCAACGTCTCCCTGGGCATCAGCCTCCTCGCCATCGGTCGCTCTCCTCCCTGTCCCTCTGCCTCTCGTTCACCTCCTCCCTTGCAGGCATCGGCATGCAGGACCTCGTGACCAACATCGGAGTCGCGCGCGCTGGTTACCCCAACATGGCAGCGAGCGCCTGCGTGGGGGCTCCGCTGATGAACATCCTGATGGGCCTGTGAGTCTCATCCCTCCTCCCTCCTCCCTCCTCGTCCTCATCCTCCCTCTCCCTCCTCCCTCTCTCCCTGCCTATCCTCCCTCCTCCCTCCTCTCCTCCCTCCTCCCCATCCTCCCTCTCCCTCCTTCCCCTCCCTCTTCCCTCCTGCCTTCTACTCCTCCTCTTCGTCTCTTTCCTTCCCTCCCCTCCCCTCCCCTCCCCTGTCACTTCTTGCCCTCGTTAACTTCCTCCTCCTGTCCGCCGCCTCTCACTCCCTCTGACTTCTCCTCCAGCGGCTGCTGCGCCATCTTCGGCAACTGGCTCGTGCACAGTCCGTACCCTCTACATTTAACGACGCAGATTATCGTAAGTCGAGAAACCAGCATATCCCCCCTTTCCCCTCGTCACCTCCTCCTCCTTCTCTTCCTCCTCCTCCTCCTCGCCGTCTTCCTCCTTCTCTTCCTCCTCCTTCTCTTTCCCCCTCCTCCTCCTCCTCCTCTCCCTTCCATCTCCTCATCAGCTTGCTGCAGGTCTGTCTCGCCTTCCTCTTCTCGTCAGTCTTCGTTGCCGTCCTCTACTTGAACTTCACGGGCTTTAAGGCCGATGCTCTCTTCGGTCTGAAGCATCCTCCCTCCCTCCCTCCCTCCCTCCCTCCCTTCCTCCCTCCTTTCCTCCCTCCCCCCTCCTCACTCCCGTCGCTCTTGCTCTTCTCCCTTCCTCTCCTCCCTCCCTCCCTCACTTCCTCTTTTCCCTCCCTCTCGTTTCCATTCACGTTTGCTCGCCTTTCCCAACCTCCCCTCCTCTCCTCCACTCCACTCCACTCCTCTCCTCTCCTCTCCTCTCCTCTCCTCTCCTCTCCTCTCCTCTCCTCTCCTCTCCTCTCCTCTCCTCTCTTCCCCCTTCTCATCTCTGTCCTCTGCCTTCCATTCTTTCCCCCTCTCCCCTCCCCTCCCCTCCTGGCCGTCCTCCCTTCATCGCTCACTGCGCAACAGGCACCGTGCTAGTCGCATGCTACGTCATCTTCATGGTCACGAGCCTGGCGCTGGACTCATACGCGGACGATTCTTACTTGACGTTTCATGTGATGGGGAGATGATCCCTCTTGTAATGAATCTTGCTAATATATCCTTCCTCCTCTCCCCTCCTCTCCTCCTCGCCTTTCCCTCCCCCCCCCTCCCCTCCCCTCCCCTCCCCTCCCTCCTCCATCGTTGCGGTCCCTCCTGCCCTCCACTTCCTTCCCTTGTCCTCCCCTCTTGTCAACTCACCTCCTCTCCTTCTCACATCCTCTCTGTCCTCTACCTGCTCTCTATGACCCTTTCCTGCATCTCCTCCATCAACCTTTCCGCTCACTTGGCTCTCCTCGCTCATCGTATCCTTCGTTATCCTCTCCCACCTTTGAGCTTCGACGGAGAAATCAACAAGCCGGAGGCTGCGAGCAACTTTCGAATCTCTTTCGCTCCCTCCTCCTCCTCCTCCGCTTCCTCCTCCTGATCCACCTCGACATTCTCTCCCAGCGCAGCCGTCATTACTTCATCCTTGCCCTCCGCTCGTGATAAAACTTTCTCTTCTTCCTCTGAAGGTGCAGCTTCTGCGCCCTCCTCCCCTCCTCCCTCAGGCAGCGCCCGATCCTTTGCCCAAGGGAACCTGACAGAACGCTCAGAGCAAAGCATTGCGAAGGGCACGAGCGCGAAGGACAGACTAGCATCTGCATCATCATCATCATCTCCATCTCCATCTCCATCATCATCGTCATCATCGTCGTCGTCGTCGTCGTCGTCATCATCATCATCATCATCATCTCCATCATCATCTCCGTCATCTCCATCATCATCATCATCAACAACAACTACTACAAAAACTACAACAACTTCATCTCCTTCACCACCACCACCACCTCCTCCAACAACAACAACAACAACAATCACAAGAACCATCTCACCCCTTGCTGATCTCCGACGAGATGATACTCTCCGGCGTCAGCCCGTCTACCGTCATCTGCTCCTCGTCTGCTCCCT